ATCGATAAATATAGCATGTTTTTTTTTTGGTTTAACCGATATATGCGGAATACACTTTGAGTCTAAAAATATGCCAATTAAAATTAATTTCCATAGTTCATATCATGTTGTGTAAAATTGTCTTACGTCATTTGATGGATTCCAAAAAGCATCAAATAGTACAGCCCGACTTGCGCCCGTCAAATTAATTCCCAAACCCCCCGCACGAGTTGAAATAAGAAATAGTCTAAAAACGTAATAAAGTATTCAATTTATATCGGTTTGCTCGAGTCGAAATACAAAGCAAATTAGCAATAGATACCTTGCTCGCTTCTCATTTTTATCATTGAAAATGTCGCAATTCAGTTTTCGTTCCTGTATCTTGGTCTTTCCATCGAAATAAAAGTAATCTTTGTCGCGTATCCAATTTAAGCTGTTTAGATGTTTCTCAATCAATTTCAGTGATAACAATGATTGAGAAAATACCAAAAGTTTTTCACCATTTGTACTGCATCCGGCTATTATGGAAAATAGGATGGTGAGCTTGCTCGATGCAGTGATGAGCACATTAGCTGGCTAATTTGCCATCACTGTGTACACCGGCTAACGAATGCGTAAGCCAGCACTAACACACGTCAGGAGAATTGGACGTTTTCACACGCATACTATCATACACAGTCACACAGACAGTGTAGACAGTTAGCTGGCTAACGATTGGTGTACACCAAATGTTGGTATACAACGAGGCTAAGCCAACGCTGGCTAACGCAAAACCATCACTGGCTCGATGTATGTATATTCATCTTTGACGCAAAATTGTGACCACCAATCAACTGCTTTAAAATAAAAAGGACTTTTAAAGTGGCATTTATTTAATATATACTAATAACAATAATTTACTTACAATGTGTCGTAGTTGGGGTCTTTTGAGGCTCATAAATATCACTCCCTTCAGAATCGCTCTCTTCAGTGTCGTTCATTTCATCTTCGCTCTGTTCACTGTCAGAATCTGCTCTGTTCTCACTTTTGAACTGCAAAACCCAAGGGTGCGCACAAATTCATGACAACCAATGAAAGTTTTGAAATAATGTCGATGTCGTTTCGGGCTTTGAACTTGACTTCTTTTTGACACTTAATTCTTCTATGTAAATCAGGACGTGACCAAGCTAGGTGGGGGGTAAAACCCTGAATCCCCCCAGTGCGCACCTCTGATTTATTATGATCATTAAAAAAAAACAAGTCATTCGATATCACTATCAGCTTCGTCGTCCTCAAGCCATAGTCCCAGTTGCATAAACAAAGTTTTCCATGCGAATGGGTGTAGAGCCATGGTGTCAGCGACTCGCATTTTTTTCAGGGAATTCCTTCGTGGTGTACGTCTTTATGTGAGCTTCGAAAATACCTAAAAAGGAAAATTGTAACGTTCCATATAAATAATATATATTGATTAAATATATGGAACGTTCCATAGTAACCACAAAATGTATGGAACGTTCCAATTCTCTTTTTTTATGATTATTTGTTTGTAGCTGATGATATCATAAATATGTATATATATGTTTATGATATCATTAAGGGCAATCATAAAAAAAAGAGAATTGGAACGTTCCATACATTTAGGTGCTTGTATGGAACGTTACATATAAATATCCATACATTATTATTCATATGGAACGTTCCATTCATTTTATTAATATATAACTTACCAGTTGTGTCACCGGCAAAAAAGTCATCATTACTGCACATCAAAAATGTCGGGTATTTGATTTGTTTTGGGGCGTAGTGTTTTATGGCGATTTCGGACCAATGCCCCTCCATTGCCAGTTTGGTCTCCTGTATATCGCGTTCGAGGTCTTTCACCTCGTCCATGAACAAAGGGCGATTTCCCAACACACCCATTTTACCAAAATGGTTACCAAAATTCCGGATGTTAGTGTGAAGTAAGCAGAACGACGCCAACGATTGCATAACATAAGTCTTGTCTGAGTTGCGAGGCCCGCAGAATTGAATGGTATTCATCTTTCTGCAAATATCGGTTCGTTACATGCGTGTCTCTCTACTTTGTAAGAATTGTGCAGTTCTGCTAGACAATTTTGGCATTTTACCGGCTTCAGCGTAGTACTACGCAGTGAAGTGAGCCGGTTTGAAATTTCTCATACAAACCGATTTCGGAGCGGTATCTCGGAATTGGTTTCGTTTTGTGTGAACGAAACGGAGCAGGCGGAACGTTCCGAGAATGGTTTGTATGGCAACGTATGTGTACGAGAATAGCAATTCACACTAATACACACACATACGTTGCACGGTCGTGTGTATACTGCACAGTGTAAACCATTGTCGGAACGTTCCGCTTGCTCCGGTTCGTTCGGTAAGTGAAACCAATGAAATGGTTTGGTTTTGGTTCACTTCACTGGTACTACGCCATGAACATCTTTTTGGTGCACGTTTAATTTCCAATTTTGCATCATTCTCTTTCCACAGAGATGTGGACACTCGAACTCTTCCCAACGATTTATAGCTGACTTGTAAAATGTTTCATTTGACGATTGCCCATTGAACATTTGTAGGCGCAAAAAATGGCCTAACGCAGCTTGCTTGGAGACATCGCAAATATATGAATCCATGGCTGTTTTTTTTGTTCTACCTTTTATGCAGTTGTACAGCAGCGAACTTTCACCAATGATTTAAAAATATTGAAAAAGCGACATTTCCAACATCAACATTTTATCTGGTGTCACATTTGGTCCGTTTTCGAAGCTCATCTCAATTGAATTCAGCATATTATTCGACGCCAGTGCATCGTTCCAAAGATCTTTTTCACAGCCTTCGGCGCTTTTTAACAAATCATTCGTGTACCCATTGGTACCCCAATATATGAGCGTGTGCGGCATGTGAATATATGCATCTTTTTCATCGTTTTTCATATTCACCTGCCTGTAAGGCATACAGATTTGCGCGCGCCTCAATGTTCGATAAAATAAAACCAAACTACTTTTCATATGTTTGGAAGCCACATGCGAATGCTACTTCTCCATTCTCAAAATTATCTTATGTATTTTCGGTCATTTTGTCTAAATATATAGACACAAAAACGCCTTTTCACTTATACAAATGCGACATATGGTCTAAGACACCATGTCCTTAGACATCATGACGTAACGCCAGTTCATCGTAATGAGCTTATCAAGCGTAAACGCCACAGTGCAATGAAGTCATATATTGTGAATTTCAGCAAAAACCACAAAAAGAGAAATCACCGACGGATTAAAATTGAATAGTACAGCGGGAATCTATATATCATAAAATTCGTTTTTTCGGATTGTTTTCAACCACAAATATGAAAAATATAGTATGTGAGTCTTTGCGTCACATATATTTATGCATGAAAATTACCCGTTTGATTAGCAAAAGTCATTCATCACAACATGAAATTTTAATCGTTGACTTACCTTGATCCAAATAAAAATAAATATTGAAGGTCATTTGCAGATTCATCCCTACTCATTTGATTTTTGGGTCCAAAATTTGGACAAATTAGTTTAATATCAGAATTCGATCTAAAGTTAGTTTGAAGTTTGTAAAAACCAAAGCATATTATTATCACAAATTGACCTTGGCCGTTTCTATTTTGATTGCGTGCACGCTGCTTCTCATCAACATTTAAACGGAAACGATTTTAATTACTAATCGGAATGAAAGCTTATTTACTATGAGCCACTGCACAAAGTAATTCCATGCACATTTTCACACTTAATTTTCTTATTTATTGTAAAGAGAGAAACAAGTTGAAAACATTCTTGATTGCTAGAAATCATATTTTTCTCACGAGGTCTATTCACATTTTATTTTGATCACGTTGACATTCATATGAACGCCAACAAACGAAATCTGTAAATATTCAACGTTTTGACTGTAGATATATTTGCACATTCAGCACGCAGATTCACAAAACAATAAAAAAATTCGAGATTTATTCAATTTTCTAGCTCGTCAACTACTAATTAGTTTTGTCGTTTTCGTGATGTTAGATTATAATGATACGTAATGGTAGCGGATATATGTATAAAAAAATAAAATCGAAATCGAATTAATATCAACACATTTCAAATCAAGCATATACAGATCTAGATTATTTTTAGTCCATCACACTGAAACGTGATTGTGTTTCAAATTATTAAACTAATTTTACAAACAATTGCACCTCTATATTTAAATTGTTATTAAAAAGTTAAAAGGTTATTAAAAGCGCATTTAGATCCAGCTAATATTATCCATCTGTATCATAAAAATTGCGAAAAATTTTAATCTATTATTCTTCGTTTAAATTGTTTTAAATATCAAAAAAATAAATAAATAAATGAAAATACGGGCCAGAAAATAAAGAAAATGTAGAACCGAAAGTGATTTTAATCTTAAAATAAAAATCCGGATATTTTATTTTCAGAAAATGAATGAAATGTGATGAAAATAAAATAAATCTCATTGATGACAAAACTCCCAAAAACACCAAAAAATTAGAAAAAACAATGAATTACACAGAATTGTCAAGTAAGTATTTTTAATTGCTTTCATTATTATCTAAATGACGAACAAAAATAAAACACTAAAATAAGTTCACAAGACTGGTTTTTTGTTTAATTGCGCAACGATTGTGATCAAGTACAATGACATTGTGATGTTCTTTTTTCACGAAACAATTGTCGCCGGTAGAATAATATTTAAATCAAAAAAAGTATTCCATTTTTTGCATTTCATTTTTATTTGTTTTTATTTATTATTATATCACACTCTCATGTTCGCATAATTATCACTTGAGACCTATGCTTAATGCAAAAGTGGTTTTTCTATATATATATTAATACGCTTACAAAACCGCCCGTCACACGTTTTATTGAATACCCGCCCATCCGATGCACTTGCACAAATTAAGATAAAAAAAACAATGGCCGCTCTTCAGTACAAAATGATGTCGATTCAATCTGGGCATGGTCGGAAATATTTTATTATTTTTTCTTTGTCGCCTCTCTTGATTCATATGTAGATATTATCTTATCACAACAAAAATTAATCATTCATCTTTGTTGACTGCATTTTTTTCAAGATAATTTGACCTTTTCGAGTTCAATGCGGATTAAATCGGAGCTGTTTACAACATACAATAAACCAAAAACCCGTATTAAAATATACGATCATACCAGTATTTCGCTTAATTCAAGTGTGCATTTCTTGAGGTGTTTACAATTCCAATTTTAATTTTTCAAATGACTAATTCCAAATTTTTTGTATATTGAACAAATGGCCTCATACAAATTATTTTTTTGAAAAAACGTCAAACAATAATATGCTTAAATCAAATTCAACCTTATCTCGAATATTTTATGCAAAAGTACAAAATAACAAAAATAATATATTAAGCTTTTCATTTGTAAGCACAATTTGTGTCAAATACAAAGTATCCAGGTGTCTTTCGTTTATTAGTAATTGAATAAAAATTGCTTACATCATCGAATGTTTGGTAACTTTCATTTCTTTGTTGCTAGCTATCTATGAAGATTTCATCTTCGTCTGAGTCTCAGTGACATAATAAAAAATGCAATAATTCGTAATACAATACAAATGGCCAATAATATGCCAAAGCTGAACATAAAGTTGCTTTGATGTGTGTCAATTAATTTCATAAATTTATGCGGTATTCTATAGTGGCAATAAATTTCATTGCACTCCAATTTGGGCCGATCATACCCAAAGATGGCCAGCGTGGACCCATCGACGGCGTATTTCAGGAATGAAGCATGAAACAGCCAATGAAGATATGTCGGTGCATCGGCTAAACGCAGGAAAAATCCAGAAAACACAACAAACGGTGATATTACAAATGGCCCGACTATAACACCCAGCTGAGGCATCAAAAAATTAAGTTCACAGACAATTAGAAACAAACAATACACAATTAAAAACAAGAACCACATTCATTTTCAAGAACACACTCACCTTGACACCGCATGAAGCTCCAACAATCATACCGAATGCTTGGGCTATTAGGGTTACCATGACGGTTGTTATTAAAAACAAACCAATGCGAAACATTTCGAGCGGTTGAGCCGTCATCAAATACGTAATTAATACATAGATCAATACACAAGCAAATTGCACCGGCAAATCGGCGAAAGTCAATGCAAAGTAGTAGGCCTTTTTTGAATACCATCGATTAAAATGCTCCCGTGCCACTATCGGCATTTCCAATGGAACTAAAAGTAAAATTTATTTCTGTGAGAAGAATTTTCCAAATTGATATGCTCAAGTTCGATTTCTTTACATTTTATGGTGACTGTAGAAAATGCAGTGAACATGAGAAACATTAGCGATAGGAAAATGTAACGGAAAATATTAAACATCATCGTTGCATCGTTTCCAATATTAAAATACAGTGTGCCGACAAGTAAGGCAATTAAGGCGTGAATTATAAATCGCATTGTCGCCAATGTTCGATCGCGACGCAAGCATATAATCGTTCTGAGCGTTAACAGATACCATTGACGAAAGAATGATGTTGCATATGCACCACTACGACACCTACAACACTGTCGACTGTTCGAATAAAGTGAAATTGGCCTTGCTTTCTTCCAATTTGATGACTGATCCATGGGCGATGATACGGAACTTTCCGAATCCAATGGTGCAAGCTCAGGCGCATATATTGGCGTCACCAAACCACCTTCGACAAATCTTTCTGCAGAGTTGAGAATAGAAAAATGTAAGACAGTGCGTATTTTTTTCGTTCAATTTTTGCTTTTGCCATTTAATTTTCACTAGAATTCTGATTCGATGTGTATTGTGAGTTTGAAGGTTTTTAAACAAAGCATGTTCAAAGTTAATAAGTCATTGTTTTTCAAGCTCATTAGAAATGTGTATTGTTTACAATTCAGAATTCCATATTTCATTTCTCAAATTTCAAATATACGGAAACAATTACCCGCAATTTCCAGTGAGTAATTATAGGCGGCGGCGTGCGTGTTTGTTCGATAATTTTCATTTAAGCCATTGTGAATTTTTGCAACCAGTCGATCATTATGTGGACCGTAGTCATGTGTTGAAATTTCTAGCACTTAAATGAGAAAGTCGTATTTAATTATATGAGCGTCAGACATTTCAATGTAGAAATGATTGAAAACATGTTTATTCTTACAATAGTCCGATGGGTTATAGGTTCTTGGACATTCAAAACCGACGGTCGATAGAAATGGCACTAACTTCCCAGTTGCACCGGCATAAATGCATTGACCTTCCGCAATTGCATACAAATGATCGAATAAACCAAATAGTAATGCCGAAGGTTGATGTATTGTACACAGAATGGTGCGTCCTTCCTGTGCCAAATGCTTCAGCAATAATATCACCTGTGTTGATGTTGAACTATCAAGCCCGCTGAAAATAAACAATGAAAATGATGAGCAAAAAGTCGATTTGTGAAACGTCATCGTTGCGCAAAATGTGTGTGTGCAATTTTCTCCTTAGACTCAGAAAAAACAGTGACAGTCACTTTGTAATGAAGTAATTATAGTATGGGGGACACTGTTTTTTTGCCTCTTAACATTGAATATTCGGATGAGTAATCAATTGTCTGTGCAAAACATCCCATATATGATATAAATTAAGAATTTACTACTCATCCGAATCGTTTGCTATCCATGTTTGCAAAGTCAAACGTAATTACATAGTTCATGTGAATAGTAGCTATTATATGGACGAGGCAATTAAGAGTTTACATAAATCAATCGCAAAAAAATATTGTTTATCTTTTTTTAGTGCGCATAAAAATTTGCATTGTAAATTCGATACCTTGTTGGTTCGTCAAATGCCATAAACTGTGGATTATCGACAAGTTCCAATGCTATAGCCAGCCGTTTTCGTTGGCCACCAGATAATTCACCGGCTTTTGTAAATCGATTCTCATACAATCCAATTGCTTCTAGTATTTCTTGAATCTGTCGACATCAAAAGGGAATAAAGCGATTTTTTTTATCGATTAATAATGATTGTCTGATTATTTGTTGGTAAATAACAGTTTGGTTAGACGCGGTTTTTGCGCTCGTGCATTGATTAACTTACTCGTTGTTTTTTCTCCGTGTAATTTAACTGCGATCCAATTTTTAAGTTCACCGAAAAATACATTGCTTCCCAAGCGGTGATGTGGGGCTGAAGTACATGATCTTGCATAATGTATGCAGCCTGACTTCGAAATCGTTTTAAATCTCTTGGACGGCCGTTGATTGTGATTGTACCACTTGCCAAATTGGTTGAGTAGCCAGTGAGTATGTGCAGAAGAGTAGATTTTCCAGCTCCACTAGGTCCCATTACTGCAGTGAGCTCACCAGCTCGAAACTCTCCATTTACACCATTTATGATAGTTTTTGTTGCTGGTCATTGAATAAAAAAAGAAACCATTATTTTTATTGCAAATATGAAGAAGAAGTGGGAAAGCGTTCAATTTTCGCATTCCAACACTACACTTGTGCAAACAGAAAATAAATCACAGTGGCACAATCGCATGATTATATTGTTGTAAAATTTGCGTTTATCAAACTTTTGATAAGCTCAGTAGCCCCTCGATCCCGTTAATCTTTCTTCGTTAAATCTCTGATAAAAAAAAGAACAGAAGTTTAAAAACCGCAAAACTTTGATAAACGCAGATATCACAACTGTTTGACATAAGTCTGTAATTGGGACTTTAAAACTGCAGTTTCATTTTTTCAAATGTCTCGGTCATTTCCAATGAACTTCAAGCACGGCTAAACATCGTATTTAACAAAACACCGATTAATACATAATAAATGTGGTAAACATGTGTGTAGAAGCGCACGTGTATCGATTCGATTTACAGATATTTGAGAAGTGATTTGAAAACTCATTCATCGCATCATGTATTGAATTTTCTTCTCTTCTTAAATATTGATTTTTTAAAAAAAATCATGTATAACAACAACAAACAGTTCAATAAAACATTATTAAGCACTTATAGGCCACAAATTGTAACTGATAATTTTTATTCGTCATTCGTCAATTTCAATATTGTTCAATGACTCTTTATTGTCGGTCAACTGTATTTATTTATTTTGATTTTTGTTTTCATTCTGTTCGGCTCATTCGCTCGCTTCGATAAATAATTTTAACGAAATTGCGATAAAATTGTTTTTAGAAATCATGTTGTTTTGTTGAACAAAACGGAAAAAATGTGCCACAAAACACACATTGATATATATACATTGAACTATGTACGAACAAATATTTGAATGTCCATTGGTGTCTACTATCTTGCTAACCTTCGCCAATTGTGTGTTATGTTTTATAATATGTACACATTTATGTTGTGCTATATTGGACAGATGGTTGTTTTACGATAATATAAACCGTTGTAAATAAAATATTAAATGTCATGACATCATTAGAATTGATTAACCGTATGTGATCAAAGAATAAAGAACAAAATGATTGTCAATAGACTTTGTACTTACATCGATCCCATGGGAGACTTCTACGTGCTCGATAGATTAGATCTTGAAATTTAATGTTGATACCCTTGGCATAGTCATGTTCTGATTCTTGTTGGTTCGCGCCAAAACAACCGTCTGTCTGGTCCGCATCTAATTGGCCGGCACTTTTTGTGGGTAACTCTGATATCGGTTTCAAAGCAATATATGATGGTCGTTTTGTTTCGGGCGTCTCGCTGACTTGTAATTTAGTCATTTCAGTCGATACACTATCATCAAATGTTCCATCGTTGACAATATCGCTAGTTGATATGCCAAAATTTGTTTCACTAAAACATTGTCGATCATCATCTAATCGTTCGTTATTATTGGTATCTTCTCCATTATCTTTCGCGTCAACTTTACAATTATCTTTTTCAATATAAGCTATCGGCATACTACACGCACCCGTATGATTTGGCATACTGATTATAAATAGTTTTCTCCGTTTTGCGTTTGTATGTTTTCCAATTAATTAATTGTATAGGTTCTTTCTCCCCCTCTTTTTTCTATTTAATTTTCTTATTATCACTGTCTGCGTTCGGTTCTCACTCAATTACCTTATTTTGCGCATAAGTAAAGAGCTTGACTCTCTCCTGTGTGCGCACACAAAAAAAAGTGGATAACACTGAGGTGCGATTAAGACGATGAACATCTGTTGTTGATAAGCGAAAATTCTTTTCAATCCAAAAATTGTCAAGTCAAGTGATCAAGGGGCGTCTTTGACAATAAATCGTATTCGCATGTATGCTTAACTTAATCGATATCTTTATTTTTAATTCCTTGTAATTTTCGTTATCGCATATTATTTATAATTTTTATTCTCCGCACATCAACGGTTTACGATACGATATTTTGATATAGAAATTATTTGCGATTGTGTGCGTAGATGTGTTGGTGATCGTCGTTTTTATTTGTGTTGATCTACTTCGTTCATGTTTCTTCTACTGAGAATTACGACCGGTCAATCTTATAAATAGGTTGTCGTAAAAGTGATTCTACTATTGGTGTAATTAAAAACATGCGCGTATTTTGCACTCAAAACTTTAGCATAACAACATTCCCTATTTTTTCATTCGTCAAATGTCTATAATCAACTTTCGCTTTTTTTAAATAGATCTCAAAATCTTTATATTTCTTATTAGAAAAGATTATTGAAGCTAGAAAAAGTCGCTCGAAATCGTAGGTTTGTATTTTTTCAAGTGAACAGCGACAATGTTTGATCATTCAACGAAAAAAAAGAAGAAATTAAGACGCTTTTTTAGATTTTTATATCAAATCACGCGTTTTCGGTTTCATAAAAGGCACTTGCTATAAAATAGTCGCGATTTCATTACTTATTCACGGCAAAAACTGATTATCATAAGTTGTGCTTTAATAGAATCGCCTCGATATTTAGATCTTTTTTTTTCTACAATAAATTATACAATTCACAGCAATTCATATATGTCACACAATCGTAATGAAATATCTTTACATTTGCTCGCACCATTTTCGTTTCACTTTTAATACATTGGTATTCTATTTATTTTTCTCTCTTACACGCTCTTACACTTCTCATCAGACACACATCACAAACGCTTCTGTATCGCACGAAGCGACTGCTGCAACTGAGTAATTGTATACAAATAGTACTATCAGCAATGACTTGAGATGAATGTTGTTGTTTCTGTAAATAATGCCAGTGAGTAAACAAAATAATGTTGTGAATGACTGTATCAATTTCAAATCATGTACATAATTTCTACACATCAACACACAAGCACAATAATTATTCTCAAATCGATTAAATTGATCACTTATTTATTAATAATCATTTTTTTTGTTCGCTCCACATGTTGTGATTAAAAATTCAAAATTAGATCGAATCGGAAACGATTCTCTTTGTTTGTGTATTGTGTGACCAAAAATCAAGTATGAGTATGAATAAATACAAAGCACAAAGGCGCGTACGGTATACACACATATCGTACGCTGTACGCTTTGTGCGAGCGAATCCAATGCACGAGGCTAACTGATGTTTTTGAATTGTGAACCACTGTGTAAAACATATGGACAAAGCTGGTTTTGATCATAGAACATTCACATTTTTATTTTCCATTTCAAAATGTAAATGTGTGTATATTGTGTTGCAATATTAGAGCACTACATCTCTCTTCAATAACGACCAACGCGTAGCAAAGGCGATGGGTGTGTGACAGAGAGAATGAGTGGGAAAGAGACGAACATTGAACACATGTAAACATACGTGAAAGATGAAATGTCAAATTGTCAGCTGCTTTATTCGTAATATAATAATAAAACCGTCAGCGCCATAGTTTTTAACCGTGGTGAGAGTTTGAATTACGTTCACAATTTAATCAGTTTAAACGTCAGCGAGTTTCATTGCACCATTAAAAATGCTAACAGACGATAAACACACGATTTGTTCAACGGATTCCGTGGTATCAAAACGGAATTCGCACAAAACATCCACGGATTCGGTAAGAGATCTTGAATTTTAACCATATTTTTTATGCTTCCATAATCAAAAAAAATCCTGAACCAGACGACTGAACCGCCGAGCAAACGAGTCAAAGTACACGTCACCTCACGAAGACGAAAAGGCATAAGAAGTTTAGTGTCAATGGAACCAAATTCACCGAAAGAGTCCAACAAACATGTCATCCTCTTTGGAATTTTAACAGTGATCTTTGTTTTTATCGGGTTGTTGATGAGGAGTGAGGAATTTCGTAAAGAATTGAAACATGTGGCAATGAACCAATTTCAAGTAAGTCGTTTTCACATTTTTTTTTTGTATAGAATGTTAATGCTATTTTAAAATTTGTAGCTCTATTTGCACGGCCGTGAAAATTACTGCAATGAACCGTTCGAACATTGGCACATATCAAATGCCATGCACAACCGAATCATTGGCCAGGGCGCAGTTCTCGATAAGATTGATGATGCATTGCAACAACATGAAAATGTCACAGCATTGGCTTTTATTGGGACACAAGGTGTTGGGAAGACGCTTTGTTTGAATTTAATTCAGAATAGTTTTCAATGGCATTTGAATATGCATCAGTACATTTGGTCTCTGATACAGTCACCAGACGATCAATTAAAACATTTGCTGAGGCTGATCGATAGCCTAAGCACATGTGGCATGAACGGAATATTCATTGACAATGTGCCGTTAAAATACGTTGGAACTATCAATCGCTTTAATCAGAAGTTGCAAGCGTATTCGAATAAAAATCACATCAAATTGTTGGTGATTTATGTCTTTCAAACTAATAATCCGTTGGATGCAAACGAACCACTCCAAATAGAAAATGTGAAATCGATTAATTTTCGGCGATTCAATAGAAACGATATAAGAATTTGTATAAATATGGAAAGTGATCGTTTGAAGCTTTCCATCACGCAAGATCAAATTGAGGAGCTATTGAATAATATCGATGCCGAACGGCACGGATGCAAACATGTAGCCGCTCGAATTGCACGAGAAGAGGAAATTCAAGGCGTCTAATTTTACACTGTGACTTTTTTTGTAGATATATTAATTTAAAGAAACAACAATTACAAAAGACAATATAAATTTAGAAAATGGAAATTGTGATCCGTAATAGGGCAAAATAGTTTATAAGACGTGATTTTTGTGATTACAATTTTAGAAATATCGTAAATTAATATTTATTAAAACGTTGTTACCATTTTTATACTGAATAATAATTGAAACAATTTGAATATAATATTCATTTAAGGCTGTTATCCATCTCCAAACCGAATGTACAAACCAAAAATGACATATTCTATCAAATAAATAATTTACATAGACTGAATATATCGCGGGAGTTCAATGAGATCTGTTTTTTTTTTTTAATTTCATTTTTGATCGTCGTAATACTTGTTTGGTTCGACTCAGTTGTCTCATTTAAATCGCCTTGTTTATTTGTTAATTTTAGAATTAACATGGTTTGATGTGAAACAATGGAATTTAAATGGGCAGAATGCAAACCCACATGCTCTCCTTATTCGACATGACGATTCGAATCAATGCAATAAATTCGGAAACATAAAGCGGGAGAAAAAAATCAATAAATATATTGGTGTTTAAGAATCGCAAATGATTGTGTCGACTGGAATATCTAGTCGTGTTATTTATTGCTTTCGAGAAACTGAAACAAAAACGATTCACACTATGTCCGCATTGTGAAAAAGAAGAGAAAAAAACGCGAAGGAATAACACAAAATAAACAAAAAATAATGGTGTCTGTGGTTAATTTTTTTGCTCAAGGAGAAAGTGCATTCCGGCAAGCGCAATTTTACGCAGTCGCTGACCCAACGGCATAAATTTGAATACATTACATACTTACTTGAAATTAACGATAGTCAAAAACTCATTCCATTTTTACTGGTCATTATAAAGTAGGTGGCACATAATCATTTAGAAATCAATCAACAGGTGAACTTTTGACATTTTGCATCGAACAAAAAAAATTGTGTTGGCAAAAATTACGAATGAAAAAAGTTCAGACTTTGTTTTTATTATGTCAAAACATTTGTTTTTTTCTTTTTGTTCTATTTGACGAGTTTAGAAATATTTTTTTTAAAAGGAAAAAGACTGGGTTGTTTTTTGGATATAGTGTATATTTATTTATTTTTAAAATGTTTGAAAATACATTGATTAAAATTGCATAAGTATATCATATATATAGTAATAGGAGGCATATTGTAAAAAATCTTATAAAATGGGGGAAACTCAATATTTACAATAAAAATGTGTTAAGTGACCAATAAAAGACATTGTTCACGATAGAAAGAGAGAAATGATTCCAATTTTCTAAAAAAAGGTATTTTTAAATGCTAATTTTATAATTACATACAAATTTATTGATAGAATAATAAGTGTAAAGTTAAACACTTGTCAAATCAAGATGAAAAAAAACTGTAAGATCAATCAAATAGAATTGAATTCGTTGATTTATCTCAGCTGATGTGTGTGGTTTTTTTTGTCACGAATAGCATCAAGTGATTTTCTCTATTTAATCATTATATGTTAATAGATTAGACATTAGTGTATATATGTTAATTAATACAATACACAAAAAAGCCTAAAGCAAAAAAAAATCTTGGATAAAATTTCTATATAAAAAAGTAAACAAAACTTAAAAATTACATAATCAGCTGAACTTGGATACCTTTGGTTTGTTTTGGAAATTAGCTTAAAATTTGTTTTAGCTAAACTATTAAAATGTTTCACAACGGCGACGACACACATACAAAAAACGTCGAATATAAATCGAAATCAATCGAGATTTATCATTTTTTATTTGGTTTTATTGAGTTGTAGACATACAGATGAACTTGAAAATAGTTTTCACACAAAAAGCGGTCCACACACATTTATAGTAATTTATATTTTATTCATGAGCCATTTGAAAAATAAGCAATTTTCGATAAAATTTGTCGCCATTAATTTATTTTGCCTTTGTTTTTTCATTATTAGTATTTGGTAATGCGCTGCATTGCACCGTCTATAGCTACATACATTTTAAATATCTATGCTTTGAATGTGAATAAAATATCGATATCATTAAAAAATTGGATATAATTTGCTGTGGTATTTCTTGTTTTTTTTTGCCTCTTTAGTTTTTTGATAAATGTTACACATCTACGAGACTTTAGCGCTGGAATAAATTATGTGAAAATTGCCTGGTATGCGGCATGGCATGTAAGTGATTTATAAAAGTGATTGGCATTTGATATACGACCAAATTGGATAATTTGTTATTAAATAACGCACTATGATCCGAAAACAGAAATTAATGTTAGATCTCGATGGCGGGCGCACCTCGATCATCGACCATGGTGTGCACTAGCTGCCGTACTTCCAAAAAATCAATTTCTCTCACTCTACTCTTTTTTCACGTCATTTTCAGCCACGGTTGATGTTGCATCGATGGATTCATTTGTCTTGCGATTCTTTGGCAAACGACGACCAATCAATATTACCACATCTCCGGTTTTGATCGATTTGAATACATTTATGGCTTCATCGTGTTTCATTCCTTGCAGAGATTTGCCATTTACCACGAGAATCTCATCACCTGAAATAAAAATGTCAAGCAATATGTTAGAAAAAATGATTTCATTTTTTTTCTCAAGCAAGTGTGTAAAGTGTTGATTTTTTTGCGTGAAAAAATAGTTGTATTGAGAAAATGTTAAAAATTGTTTCAAATTGGTTTGCAAAAATCGCAGCACGACGCTATGTGAATATTTCTCATATATTTTGGTGTGAAAATATTTGAATTACACAAAATTTGATATTGTTAATGTCAATTTGTTATGATCTAATGTTGTTTACCTTCTTTCAATGTGCCCTTTTCGGCCGCTTGACCGTGTGCATAAACGGTTTTTACATAGATTCCCATCGAACCTTTTGGACTATCAACTCCACCAACAATCGAGAAGCCCAATCCTTTCGCGCCATTGCCTTTAGTAAAACGTGCCTGCATCGTTAGAGAAACAAGAGAATTATGAGCTATTGATATATTCAACATGAGCAGAAAAAAATCACTGTTATCATCAGTGTAGGTGTGAATGAGAGGGTCCGTGTGATACGAAAACTATTTCCAAAGAAATGTATTGCTCTTACATCAAGACCATGAACATATTTCTATGCTGGCCCTTTGTATATACAATGTACGTATGCGTTTATGTACTTACATGACGAATCGTGAAACCGTTGTTGCTTCGAGGCAGTGTACAGAATTTACTCTCCTCTTCTTCATCGTATGCATCTTCGTCTTCTTCATTGAATTCGTGGCTTTTTTCGGGAATGCGATCAAATGACTGTAAAATCGAAAACGAAAGAGAAAATTAGTTTTAATAAATAACAATGATCCACCTTCATGAAATTATTTCGTCTCTATATTATCAATTCATCTATTATTTCCACAATAAATTAAATATTTTAGGAGTCTAGGGTTCAATGAATAAAAAAAACTGTTCGTTGATCGAACAAGAGAAGCAATAATTTCTCTGTTTTTCTATCAAATGTTTTGAGAGTATTTTTAGTATTTAGTTTTCTTCAGGTAGTTGTACGTGCATCACACACGTCGCTTCGAACCTCGGGTTACATTGATATTTGTGAAGAAAAAAAACAAATGATATGGTCATTAATTAAGGCATCTTACATTTCTTACTAATAATATGTTTTTCTAACTAATGCACCAACTACCAAATAGTTATGTCATCATTGCACTTGGAAACGTCTTTTCACCAAAAACAAATTGCATATTTTCTATGCACCAACATATTCGTATGAAAAATGGAATTACACAGATATTCGAAGATGACACGAAAACGAAAAGTTGAAAATGTTTGTAAAATCGATGGCTTTAAATTAATTTATTTTTCATGAGTGAATGATTAGTGTCTCGGATCTTAGAGATGCATTTTTGAATGTGGTCAATTTTCAAGTGTGTTAGACAGTGTGTAGCAAGCATACGGACCACCCTGATATCAAACCGAGCGTAATCGTTCTCTCTTTTACTTTGTCTTTCTATCGTTAATTTTCTTGTGTGTCATTCATTGAATCGAGGCGTTCTACAGTACCGTACTGAGAGAACACAGAATACATCACCACATTGATCCTTTTTTGTGAAATTTATTGGTTTGACTTTTAAAACGGCATGTAAATGAAGAGTGAATGTCTGGACATACAAATTTCATTCATTTAAGCGTGTTGCCGCATCATCAACACTGAACCCGGCGAGATAGTGTACGATTCAATAACAACTGGCTTTTACTCGTAAATTAAATAAGTAATCGATGCAGCATCAGCATTGTTGCCGATTATTGGTATTATTTATTTTAATAATGCTTATGTCGTTCGATTTGCTTTCATCTGCTTTTCTGTTTTATGCATTCATCGTTTGTTCATCGAATATTAACATACGCGACTTATGGTCAGGCAATCATTTAGTTCGCGCTCTGTCATCATCATCGTCCCTTTTTTCTCAATATTCTTTGAAAGAACAAACAGAAGTCATTTAGTCGAGACTTTTTAGTTCGCGACAAAGAAATTCCGCCCTAAGACCGGTCAATTAACGTTTGCTGATTTAATTCGAATATGCTTAAGAATGGAGATTTTGTACTAAATGTTTGTTACATCAATTTTTCATTTATCTGGCAAAATAAAATGTTTATCAAGTATATAGTATATATATACTATATACGACATTCACTTGAACTTTTCGCTCGTGCATATTATTTCAGTTTAAAAAAAAAAAAAAAAAAAAAACAACGCGTGTTTACGTCAAATGATGAAAGCATTGCAATTACATATATGGAATTTATTTGAAATCAACAACAATTTAATAAAGTTTATTACGAAGTTTCAGAGTTGAAATTATTTTTTAATTTACCTTAAACAATTAGAACAAGTTAAATTTATAATTTCACACGATGACATCTTTGTTTTGAAACGAAAAATTAAATTAAACAAATTTTCTTACAGAATAACAAAGGTGACAAAATTTCTATTTCAAAATGAGCACGTTTCACTTCGAATCGACTGGTTGTTTTCGATGCATATTAGGGTGGATCGATTGGTCATTTCTATAGGAACTTGCTCCGAACCAATCTCATATCATTTTTTACTGAAAAATAAGTAACTTTGCTTCTGGCACTTTTTCCGGTTTTGAACTTCGGACCCCTGTGCGGTATTTTTGAAAAAACACGGTGCATTTTTTTTAAGTCAGTTCTAGAGGGTCTACATGCCTTCGGATCGATCTTTTATGGCGCTAAATCGATCCCTCATGAAAAATTAGGTAGAAATGGTTCGTTTTCAGGAAATTTTTCAAATGGTAAACACAATTTTTATTGAAGAACTTGAGAGGTACCGATGTTTTTTCCTCGAAAAATTGAAACAGTCGCCTCAAAGTCATACCAAAAACTCATACTAAAACTCAAAGTACTAAGGCAAGCGAGCGGCCAGTTATAAGTCAGGACCATACAAACATTCTGGACTTTACAGATTTCTCATATTTTCCCATATGAGGTAATCATTTTCATCCAAATATGCTATTTTCAGCAATTTTCAGCGATTTTCATCATCATGAACATTGGGCATGTAGACCCTCTAGAACTGACTTTTAAAAAAATGCACCGTGTTTTTTCAAAAATACCGCGCAGAACCCGAAGTTCAAAACTGAAAAAAGTGCCAGAAGCAAAGTTGCTTATTTTTCAGTAAAAAAATGATATGAGATTGGTTCGGAGCAAGTTCCTATAGAAATGACCAATCGATCGATCCTAATGCATTTTTCTTTATATTAACGTTAAAGAAATTCTTTTGAGTTTTAATAAACACATTTTAGCCGAAATTCTTTATATTATTTTTGTTTCAAAATTACGTTACACAGCGAGGAAAATTTTGTATATAAAGCCTTGCTAATCTAATTAACTCTAGTTATAAAATAGTATCTTCAGAGAAAATATGAAACAGTTCCTAATTCTGGCATTTGTGTCGTGTTCGATATTCAATCAGGTAGCGTTAAAACTTACTATGGAATATTTAATTCATCACAAATTAAAATTATTTTCAAAAATAACTAATATCCAATTTAATTTTGGGCACATTATTCAATTTATTGAAATAATTTGTTTCAATTTATTCTTATTTTATCGCAAAATTGCTAAATTTAAAGGAATTCAATTTGTTATTGAAACTTGATACGAGTTATTTTCTTTCATATACGGCCGTAAAAAATGTTCTTTATCTCACTTTTGTCATAGTCTATTTTTGCTTTATTAAAACATTAAAATGCATTTTCTCAATAATTTTATGATTTTATGTATATTTTTTTATCAGTTCGGTTTGATCAGTGCCGATGATGCAGTAACGGACAATAATCAAGCCTACTCAACACTACTGAAGAAGTTGGGAAATAAACTCGGTGAAGAAAGTGATTTGGATGCCCAACTTCGACCACTTTTTACACTTTCTAACCAAGGCCCCGTAAAGATACAAGATGGAAGTACATCAAATAGATGGGTGGAATCTTATAAAAAAGCCGTAACATTGCCTTACGATTATATAAATGAAATATTTAGAAAGACTTCTAATAATGAAGAACTCAAAGCAGAAGTTGAAGCATACAAACAAGGTGTCATAGATATTGGCAAAATATATTATAATATATTTCTAATTTATTCCGTCGAGCCAAGAGTCTTTGATATACCAGGATTGAAAGTGGCACTTAACAAATTCAGGAAAGAATCATTTAATCGTGAGTCAGAGATTTATGGACAATTAGGAAATATGCGATCTGCATATAATGCATTGGTTACAGAAATCATTGCGAAAATTGATCAATCAGTTACACTTCATAAGCAACTTGTGAAAGCAGTAAATACATTTAAAAAAGGTTTCAAAAGTATAAGTGCAAAAAAATCTTATGATTCTACCCATTTGAACACACTAAGCACTCTCTTAGCTCCGGTAAAAGGAAAACTGCACGAACTAGAGATAGGCCTAAACAATTTACTTTTTGCCATTAAAGGCTACAGTAATCAACGTGTCAGTTGGGCTGCATTTATAATCAATAAACCAATTAATTTTCCAGCTGGTCTTGGAGTCATGGGAAAGTAGCTAGTGTAAAATTTTGAATTAAAAATACATTGTATGACACTTGTATGACACACGACTTCATTATGATCCCATTAAAAACACGATGAAATCATCAAAATAATTCGTTTTATTTCTTACAAAAGAAGAATTTTATTCCTTTACTTCTAAAAATTACAATGTGAATTATTCAGAAATAGTGGTGACACTCTTCACATAGTTTATATATTGGTTGTGCGTCTCCACTTACGTCTTCTTAATTGAAACTAAATTAGAGTGAACCAAAAAAAATTCGAATGACACCAAACTCTGCGTGAATCAGTATTTAATTGCAAGCCAAAATATTTCTTTTTTAATTTTGCAGATAAACTCAGAATATTTTCATAATGTGTAACTTACAGATAATAAAATTGTGTCGATTTTACATTGAATTACCATAATGATCAAATATATTTTGCGCTAAGCGTGTCCCAATCAAATTTGAAATAAATAATAATTCGTATAATTCACTTCTATATGTACTGCGTTCCCATTTTTCGTGACACTTTTTGGCGTGTTTCATTGTATCTACATGTCTTTTGGTATTATTATTTTTTTTTCACACGCTTAGGAGGGTTAACGTCAATGAATAATCGGAATAAAAAAGCCAATAATAAAGCAATTTAAAAAATATGTTTTTATAAACTGAATAATTTTTTTATACGCTGATTCAAATTCAGCTAAAATAGCTTGATGATAGAATTGTTGATGAGAAACCAATAATTTTTCATTAATCAATTTTTATTACGTACGAAGAACAGGTGCAAGAACAGGAATTTGATAGAAGAGTCGATTTTTCAATCATATCAAACATCATAAAGTATATATTTATTGATATGTAAACGTATGTAAATTTGAATATTTTCATGGCAGTGTTCATCTACGTATCAACGTTATCAGTCGTCTCAATAGGTCAATGCATTTATTTTGTTTCTCTGAAGCTCATCTCTTCGATGCAGAATCATAATGAAACAAACCGGAAAGAATTCTCATTTAAAAGAAAATACTTTCATTCAACCTCAATGTAATATAAGGCCATTGTTGATCATCTTAGCGCCGATGCATTTTTAATGAATTCATTCTTTTCGTTCCACACAACCAATTCACTTGATAAATGTTAATTTCGATAAGTTTGTATGAACATTGAACATACCACACCGTTGATGATTGTGGTTAACCAAACACACTTTTCGATAGAAATGTGAAAGTGTGCCAACTAGCACATTATCACCTGTCGCGAGCATTCTTTTCCGCATGTGTATCGTGATTTCGTGTTAACAATTTTTGCAATTTGAATGATGATTTTGTTCGAAGTTAAATTTTGTGCAAACAAAACAACAATGTGTAAGAAAACAAATAATAACAATCATGCGATCGGAGAGGCATCAAGGTTGGGCGATTAATAAAGAGAAGGGCTCTTTGGAAATTCAATTTGTTTGATTGCTTCATAACATTTCATCGATTTATCTGTCATTTGTGAAGCATCAAACAGGATTACATTAAGCAAAGTGAATGTTTTTTCTTCACTTCGAATTGCTTTTGGCTTTTTGGATCAAATTCAGAACATGCATTGAATTGAGTGTGTCACCCAAATTGAATTATAATATGATTAAGAGATCTCATTGTATAAATGAGTCATGACATGAAACGAAGATCATTTTAGTATTAAATCAAATGTGTTTACATTTTTTTTCTTCAAAATTTGAAGCACGTGGGTAACACGTTCATTTGAAATTCAAAACTGTACGTTTCTACGCAATCGTGATGATGCGATTTATCGTCGTGAAGAGAGAAAAACATATTCATTGAATTAAATCAATCGCTTAGAAGGCGTTTAAATTAATTACCATTTTCTTTGGTATATATAGGCGAGTCGGTCAATCGCATTCGAAGCGCAAATCGTACACAGATGCAAAGTAATCTTTAATGTTCCGATCTGATTTTAATGATGGTGTAAGCACAAACACATCGGCCTACACATTCCACTGAATGCCGTTTTAACCAATTTGTGCTGTTCACTCGCTAGCTATCACGCGCGCGCTCATCATTTACATAAGTTATTACACCGCAAAACAAACGGCGGCTCAATCAAATTCTATGAAAATCTGGTAGCGCATTAAATCTTATGGATTACGATGTGACTCTCTTTCTCCTTGTAGCTCTTTCATCTGTCAAATGATTTGCGTGCACCTCGTACTGGTTACATACATTACAAACTGAACACACTCTATCCCCGCATCATTCAAAGTCAATTCGATTTCATCTTCCATCATATCGACCATTTTATATCCAATTATCTGTTCAGATCGAAAATGTAATAAAAAAAACACTCTCGTTCATTTACGTAAAAAAAAAACCAAATCAGAAATAATTTCATTTTGCAACCGTTTGCCACAGCAATTATTATGTATTAAGTTCAGTATTGGCATTAATTGCTTGGTCAGAAAATCATTTCATACGTACTCTTTTCGGGCCACATTCGAAGTTTAAAAAAAATATTCGCACGTAAAGCGATTAACGTTTTTAAAATATTTCGAATTGAATTTATTGGTGGTTGATAAACCATCTCGTATTTTAATATAGCCGAAATGGGTTATTTAAAAAATCCATTTAATATATTTATATCATTATGAAGTGCATGTGAAATGCGTCTGCAATGAAGATTATCCAATGATCCCACAGTAAAAATATTTGATTTATACGCTTAATGAATGGAAAATCAGCCAATTAAATTGTATTACGTTTATAAACGCTTCATCAAATCAGCTTGATGCCATACAGTTTGATGATTTTCTCTCTCATTGACACAACACGTGAAACGATTTGCATGTCATTATCTAAATTGATACTTTTCTCTCATGTCGCTGCGACGACGGTCAATAAACATGCACCATTTCAACTAGTTTTATCCATCATTCGGTTATAGAATCACTTTCGAGTAACTCCGGTTTTCTATTTAATTACGTGCCATAAACTGAACGATGCCTTTTGGGTTAAAGTTGATTATTTGATTTACACCTGATGCTAACAAAGACTTGTTTACATTTTTTGCGATGCAAAACTGGCACACACATCTCATTTCATTCATACCACACTGAAAACTTTCATTCACATCGAATTCATTGAAAAAAAAAGATGAAAACAATTTTTCTCTTTAAAGAAAACCGACTTTCCATCCGCATTGCATTTTTTTCGTTATGCATTTTTTTTTGTTGCATCGATCGTCTATAGTCAACTTTTTATTCAAATCCGTTTATGTCATTCAGAGTTTTAACTCATCTTTTTTATCATCAAAGTCATATGGCAGTGAATGACTTCAAACCAATATAAACACATGAATAAACAGAAAATAAAGACATAGTAATTAATTTTCCGCTCATGAAAATAAATCCAGCTTACGAAAGAGTAGAAACATGTCCTTGTCAGAAGTTACAGATAGAGAGATACACCGGTTGAAAGAAATAATAATTTTTTTTTATGAAAAAAAATGAATTCAATTAAAAGTCCAAATGTGGCACGAATCTTATCTGTGTGTACCAAAAAACGCCATCATTAATATTAATGTGGTTTTGTGATATGCCATAAAAGCTCGCCAAAAATAAAACCTAGACATTTTACATAAAATTTCAAGTGCGTGCTGTTTAAGAGTTTCGACTGCCTGAACTGCTTGATGCTGTTTCTTTCGCCATACTCGATAAATTGTGGAATTAAATGGCCAACCACATCGTTAACATTTAAACCGCAAAATAATTTTTCAAGCGCCAATTTTTCCCGTCTTTTTTTATCCATACGCAAGCCAAAAGAGTTTTTTTATTCAAAATATTGTATATGTAAACTCTGGTAGAATTTATGGAAAAAAGAAGCCCAAAATGAAGCCATATTACGATAAGATTATCAGAGTTTATATAGAGTTTATTTATAATAGAAACGACGTAAAATGTTGAAAATGTAATTTCATTTTCGATCTCTGAACTCGTTTGTCATGAGTCATTTCGTTTGAAAATCGATTGGTATTTTGTGGGCGCAATTGATTTTACGATTCTTTTTTATATAGACATTCGATGATTCTTTGAATTCAAAATCCATAAAATCTGTGGACGCAGCCATAAAGAATGCCGATCGCTTGATACACATGAGAACACATATAGACAAATAAAATGTCGAAAAAACGTTCCCATTTTTGTGAGATAACATAGTACAAAGTAATTTGAAACGCTTGATATTCTAATGCGATTTAAAACGGTTTTTATCAGTGAAAAATGCACCGAAAAAAGTAAATATTTTGCTTGGATTTATGCCGTTTATCAGCATAAATACTTTTTTTGTCAATATATGTACTGGCGACATGTACTCCATTGCAGTCAATGGACTCAGTTTATGTACGAGACGCGTGTGCATTGTGCGTATTAATTCTATATAAAATAAATGTAGATATGATTTAATATTCGATCAACAGTCGATGTGAAATCATGCACAAGTGTTGCGTTGACAAAATTGAATAAATGGGATTTTAAATCAAATGCGACTTTGTGTCGAGCAATACTGTGTTCATGTAGAAAGTGCAAATAGAGATTAAATTGAATTTATACGAAAGAAATTGAATTCAACAATAAGCCCGATACCACCTGTGTTGGATGATAAAATGATTGTTATGTATGTGTGTGTGATTATCGCGCATTTACAGTTAGAATTGTTAACGCACGCATTCAATTCCATTCAACATATTTAACCGAACTGACCATTTGCGTTTATTACTGCGCATCGTAAAATGTTGTTGTAGCATTTAATAGAATAGAATGGACATAAAAAGCATGAAAAAAAAAATTAAATGACGAACAAGAGGATTAAAAGAGAATGTGAAAATGATTCGTGGTCAAAGCGAACGTATTTCGTTTTCTCGGTAATTTTTATTTATGCAGAAATGGCAATAATTACAATGAAAGCAAAGAATTAACCGAAAAAATAAAAACGGCTATCAACAATGGACACTGGGTTATTTGTACTATATGAAAATACGAACAAAGAAAATCTAAACAATAGAAATAGTAAAAAAGTCGACAACAAAAAATATACGGAAGT